TGGCCCTCGCCAACTCAGAGAGCCCCCACCCTCCAGTTTTTCCTGCACGAGCGAGGGAGCGAGGGATCGAGGGAAGGCGCCAATGCACGCCTGCCCCTCGGTGATCCGCGGAGAAGGGACGCTTGAGGTCTGGGGTGCCACCAATTGTCGACTTCCCGCCGCTCTCGGCCCTTCCCCCCACATCCCGCGCGCCGTGCACGCGCAGCCTGCTCTGCTCTCCTGGAACAGACGAGGCAGCTGCGCTCTCAATGGGGCCTCAGCCTGCGGAGTCCGGGGAGGGGGTGGAGGGGGGCTGCCCAGCCGGTGTGCGGAGATCGTGTGCCAGCCGAGGAGTGGGTCCCACGCGCACAGCCATCCAAGCAGGGCTTACGGAGAGCACTTAGTCGTCCAGAGAAAAGAGTCCTGGGCACCCAAGAGAGCGGGAGGCCAAGTGGCTGTCAGTTCTGGTCAGTGACGGAACTGAACAGCGTCTCCAAGGGCCAAGGGATGGGGGTAGGGGGACGGAGGAGCCGAGCGCCCGGGAAACGACACCCTCGACCAGCCGCGACCGGCTGCAGATTCCAAGGAGGGCTGGGAGCCCGAGAGGGTGCGTGTGCGCGCGCGCGCGTGTGTGTGCGTGTTCGTGCGCGCGCGTCTTCGCCTCCTTCCCTGGTCGTAAAACCCAAACGGAAGACGGGTGTTAAAATGCTGCTGACAGGATCGCCTGAAACGTGTTTACAGTAGGAAGGACTTTCCTCCAGAAAGCACAGTCTGAGTCGATTCCAATTTATTTCCTGCCTGTAACTGTAAGCGAAAGGCGAAGCTCAGCCACCGCGGCGGAGCGAGGCTGAGCACTGTGAATCCTCGGCGAGCTTGGGCCGGGGGGCGCCGAGCCTGCGAGACCGAGTCCCTGCGCTCCGAGAGGCATTCTGCCCAAAGGAGTCCCCCCCACCCTTTTTTTTTGGAGTAGGGGGTGGCCTTTGCACTAGCGTCCTTAAGTAAGGTGTGCCGTTTCTCTGCAGCCGCTCTCCGAAGCTGGGAAAACTGCATTCACTTTAGCAAGAAGGCAGGGACACGGAAAGTGATGATTCCCCCGAGCTGGGTTACCTGGTCCAGACAGGAGGCTGGTCTAGGCGTCCCCAAGTCACCCGGAGCTCCAGACAAGGGAGCAGGAGGCGGCGGCTGTTTGCCCTAAATTTTGATTTATGAAAAAAGATCAGAATTCATCGACATATCCTATTACTCATTGAGCGTTTAAGCCTCTAACTAAAGAAAAGGTACGGTGCTATGGAGTGGTAGGGATTCGGGAGAGGAGTAAGAGGGAGAGCAAAGAAGTCTGACTCTCCCCACGATTTCCCACCTCGCCTGGCGGGCGCAGGGAGGCTCAGCGATGCCATCTGGCGGCTGCTTCTCCCAGATTGGGAGCCGGCTGGCTGCAGACAAACCCGGGCTCTCTCCCCGGGGTGCCAGGCCTCTTCCTCGCTCGAAGCCTGTATTCATGCTTGCAATCTACGTGGCCCTGCAAACATTCGTATTCTGCTTGTTTTCATGAGAAAATCGAGAGGAAAGGAATAATGAGTTGGCACTGGTGTGAACAGCTTAAGCCTACTGTGTGCTAGTCACTGGTTATGAGAGGAATGGTTAGAAATGCAGCTTTCTTAATTCTTAGCTTATTCTAGGGGTATAAATAAATCCTAGGTTTCTTTTACCCCAGAATCCTGTTTTGATATTTTGCAAATATGAATTATTTCCATGTTATTTTTCAGTGCACGCCCCCCACTCCCCGCCCCACCCCCATTCTGCGCTGAGCCCAGTTACAATCCAATTTCATCAGCCCAGAAGGATGAAGGGCAAGTTCTATTTGTCTACTTGACCGAGAAGTAAATCAGCCTCGTAGGGAGGCTTCTTTTCCATGAAGTGTGGAACCAAAAAAACTGGCGCCTTTCAGTTGACAAAGGCCAATGACATCAGATTTCCCAGGGCTTCTTCCTTGTCAGCTAAAGTAACAACTATACGGGTTTTCTTCCTTTGTTTTATTTGAACTGAATATTTGTCAGGCCTGACTAGCTCCTACAATCATGGTTTCTATAACCAAGGCAAGGCAAAATCTTGCAAATCAGTGCAAATCCAGATTTGTTAAACTAATTTCCATTCAGGTCCCTCCCTCCACACCAGAGGAATATATCAAGCAGTGGGATAGAATCTCATTTTATCTATGCTCCATACCGTTGTATGGAAGTGAGATGTTATGTTGTGTAGGTGTGTGAGAGCAGAAGAAATGCATTAGCAGATATTACACTTACATCTCAAATGGAATTCTATTATTTAAGGTAATAAAATAAAATAATTCAAAATGTGAATCTCTAACATCATTGCTAATAAAGACAGTTTATTATTCTAAACCAGGATTTTTTTTTCCTTGCAAAATTATCTTGGCTTTCTCTTAATGCAGCTAAAAGAGTAGCATTAAGAATGACTTCATGTACTGCGAAGCCAGCAGAGGGAACACTGAGTACTGATTTAGTCGGGGCCACCAAATATCTGGTATTGGGGAAAAAATGTCAGTAATGGAGAACTGATTACAGAGCATATGAAGTAAGGGAATCAGAAGGCAGAAATCTTTTCTCATGATTTGGTATCGAGAGGTCCAATACATTGCAGTGTGCACATACTAATAAAGAAGACTTTCATAAAAGGACATCTGTGGCATGTTTTCTTAAATTCTAAGAGAACCAACCCATTAGAACAGATCTACTTCAGAGGTCTAAGCACTACTGTAACATAGAAATATATATACAGTAATCATCTTATAAAGTCAATGGAAGTTACTGATACCGTATTTAACCAAGTCTAAGAGGAAATTTCTCTCTTCATTTCTGCTCTCCTGAAGTAAGGAGACATCTTACATCTGGGGGAACATCACCATTACATTGGCAGCTTTTCTTCCTTGGTGGGATGTAATATAATGGAGTGTCTTAAAATTTGTTGAATTTGTTGAAATACAGAAAATATACGTAACAAAGGAATGAGACCAGTGGCTATGTTTTAATACACCCTTTAAAAAATCTGTGCGCTTCAAGCAGAAACACGTATGACTGCTTGATTAACTTCTTCTCTTCCCCCATCATATTGGATGATGGAAGCATAAATGACTTAGAAATATAATCAATAATATTGATACTCAACTTGACTGAATTATCAAACTAACTACATCCTCAAATCATTAGTACAAATCCCAAAATACATTTTTTAATCCTAGTGAAAATATTGATTTTATAGATAGAGCCCTCAAAATAATTTTTTGTCAGATTGGTAACATTTAGGGATGTGCTTCTGTGCACGGCAGAGAACATGGAGCATATAACACAGCAATATCGGTATGCAGAAAAGGTGCCTGTGGTTTTTTTCCTTTTTTTTTAAGATTTGTTTCTCCTTCTTTAAAAAAATATATAATACGAATAGCTAATAGTAAAAAATTATTTGCTTTTACCCACAAAAACAATTTTGCTTGTGGTTGATTCTTCCAGATCCAATTAGATGGCTACTTAGGGTGTTCTCTCCAGGAAAATTCGAATTCTGACAACCTGGGCCCATTGCCAGCCTACATACTTTAAAAGTGTGACAAGATAAATAGAAATTTACTACCCAGCACTAGTTTAATCTGAATCAAAAGCTGACTTAATCATTTTGGATTGGCCTTACCTAACCACACATGGTTGACCTGAAGAATATTAGTTTCCTACTACAGTGTTAAGGAAAGCTGATTTTTACTATAATTCTAATTTTCAGACATTGGAAAACAAGTAATTTCTGTGGCCAAATTTACGTGTATTTTGAATACCTAGACATGCTTTCTTTGCCACATTCTTCATAGTTTTTTTTTTTTTTTTTTTTTTTTTTTCTGAGACAGTCTCACTGTGTCACCCAGGCTGGAGTACAGTGCTGGGAACTTGGCTCACTGCAACTTCTGCCTCCTGGGTTTAAGCAATTCCCCTGCCTCAGCCTCCTGAGTAGCTGGGATTACAGGCACGTGCCACCACACTCGGCTAATTTTTGTATTTTTAGTAGAGATAGGGTTTCACCATGTTGGCCAGGATGGTCTCAAACTCCTGACCTCATGATCCGCCTACCTCGGCCCCCCAAAGCGCTGGGATTACAGGTGTGAGCCACCGCGCCCGGCCTTCTTCGTAGTATTCTTCATGAAGTTCCTTTCTTTTAAAATCAATGGAATTGCAGAGTTGCCACTGTTGTCCTTGTATGATTATCATCAGTGATCTGTAATTACCTTTTTTTAAAATCTCTATCACCCACACTGGGGTGCAGCGGATCATTGCAATCTCCAGGGTTCCAGAGATTCTCCTGCCTCGGCCTCTGGAGTAGCTGGAATTACAGGCACGTGCATCCATGCCCAGCTAATTTTTTTATTTTTGTATTTTTAATAGAGATGGGGTTTCACCATGTTGACCAGGCTGGTCTTGAACTCCTAACCTCAAGTGCTCCACCCACCTTAGCCTCCCAAAGTGCTGGGATTACAGGTGTGAGCCACCCCGACCTGTGATTACTTTTTTATTTTTACATCAGTGGCCTTTCTGTTCTAGTCTCTTGAACAACATGCAGCTTTTACTAGGTGCCTTTTACTGGCATCTGAATTACAAAAAAAGATATTAGTATTCATTGAGGGCTTACAATACATCAGGTGCTTCACAGTCACAAATTCATTGAACCCTTACAACAAGCCTCCATATAGTGTAGCTCCTAGTGCTCCCATACAACAGATGAGGAAAACTGAGATTTGGTCGCATCCCCATAGTTACAAAACCAGTAAGAGGGATTAGCAGCCAGGTCTACTATGAATCCCAAGACCCCACTTTCTTCTGCCATCAGTTATCACCTCCTTCTACTACGGTTTCTCTTTACCTTGGTTTTTCTGTTCCCTTCGATTCAAGTAAAAAATACATAGGATGAAACATATAAGAAAGAAAGGAGGAAGATGGCTTTGGGAGGAGAGGGATAGCCAGTGAAGCAATCTTTAATTCTGAAGACATGGAAAATAAATATTTAGAAAGTAAAACCAATTTCCATCCTTTACACGTGCCATTATCATCCTATACACAACCCTGGAAATTTGCCCACTGAGGTAATTATGGAGCCTAATGTGTTTCAAGGGAAAGCTCCTCTGTTTGGGCTATCCAGGATTTACAGGGAGTTTAAATCATTAAATAACCATAGTTGACCCTTGTTCAGTTAAGAGAGTAAGCAATTATTGCAGAGTCCTCTTCCCTTCCTTCAACAAACAGCACAAAAACGGTTCTGAAGGGATTTACACAATACATCAACATCTGTGCTGTACCTAGAGTTGTTAAAATAATTGTGATGACAGGTGTCTAGGTGCCACTTTCCTAATGGTTTTCAATATCTATTGATTTATTGTTGTGGATTTCTCGTCCCCTTTACAGCTTTGGCTTTAAGAAAGAGCCGGGGAACAGATTTTGCAGAGAGGCTGATTCTTTATTCCAATGCTGAAAAGAACTAATAAAAATAATCACTTGGCTTTTAAGCAGAAAGCTTCCATTTACAGTATTTCACCCTTACCCCGCCCCCTTCCAAGCCCCTTGTTATCTAACATAATGGTTAGAATACATTTCCGTCTCTCCCCTTAATAATTTCATGCATTAACATCCCTTTCACACACTAAACACACACACACGCGCGCGCACTGGTGCGCGCACGCACACACACACACAGCAAAAGGAAAAAAGAGGCAGCAGAAATCTCAGCTGTACTTCTAGCCCTTTTAAAAAGTTTGCTCTGTAAATTGGAATGAGGTCAGATTTGGAGCTTCTCATTGCACGCGGAGATTATTATTGCATCGGGTTCCAAGCCAATGGGAAGCCCGGGGGAGGGGCTTGGCATGAGGAAGCGTTGGTTACAGCGGCTGATTGGCTGCAGCCGAGACTGTGAAAGGATAAAGAGGCGCGAGGCGGAATTGGGGTCTGCTCTAAGCTGCAGCAAGAGAAACCGTGTGTGAGAGGAAGAGGCCTGTCTCGCTCTCGGGTCGCTAGTTCTTGCACGCTCTTTAAGAGTCTGCACTGGAGCAACTCTTACCATTACCAGCTCCCTTCTTGCAGAAGGGAGGGGGAAACATACATTTATTCATGCCAGTCTGTCGCATGCAGGCTTTTTGGCTTCCTACCTTGCAACAAAATAATTGCACAAACTCCTTAGCGCCGATTCCGCCCACAGAGAGTCCTGGAGCCAGAGTCTTTTTTGCTTTGCATGGTAGGAGAGGGACTAAGTGGTAGAGACTATGTCGCTTTCCTGAGCTACCGAGAGCGCTCGTGAACTGGAATCAGCTGCTTCAGGGGCAAACACACACACACACACACACACACAAACACACGACTTGCCTGGGAGGCCGCGAGAAACTTGCATTGGAAGCTTCAGCAACCAGCATTCGAGAAACTCCTCTACTTGGGCACGGTCTCCAGACTCAGCCGAGACAGCAAACTGCAGCGCGGTGAGAGAGACTCTCCAGCCTGGGAACTATAACTCCTCTGCGAGAGGCGGAGAACTCCTTCCCCGCATCCTTCGGGGACTTTTCTCTCCTGCGCTCCTCCGCCCCTGCGAGGAGCTGAGGGGCCGGTTCGGCCGCCGCTCGGCGTGTGCTTGGCCCGGGGAGCCGGGAAGGCCCGGCGGTCGCGCCGCGGCCGCTGCGAGGGTGTGAGCGCGCGTGGGCGCCCGCGGAGCCGGGGCCATGGTGCAGCAAACCAACAATGCCGAGAACACGGAAGCGCTGCTGGCCGGCGAGAGCTCGGACTCGGGCGCCGGCCTGGAGCTGGGCATCGCCTCCTCCCCCACGCCCGGCTCCACCGCGTCCACGGGCGGCAAGGCCGACGACCCGAGCTGGTGCAAGACCCCGAGCGGCCACATCAAGCGGCCCATGAACGCCTTCATGGTGTGGTCGCAGATCGAGCGGCGCAAGATCATGGAGCAGTCGCCCGACATGCACAACGCCGAGATCTCCAAGCGGCTGGGCAAACGCTGGAAGCTGCTCAAAGACAGCGACAAGATCCCTTTCATCCGAGAGGCGGAGCGGCTGCGCCTCAAGCACATGGCTGACTACCCCGACTACAAGTACCGGCCCAGGAAGAAGGTGAAGTCCGGCAACGCCAACTCCGGCTCCGCGGCCGCCGCCGCCTCCAAGCCGGGGGACAAGGGAGACAAGGTCGGTGGCAGCGGCGGGGGCGGTCACGGGGGCGGCGGCGGCGGCGGGAGCGGCCACGCGGGGGGAGGAGGCGGCGGTGCGAGCGGCGGCGGCGCCACCTCCAAACCCGCGCAGAAGAAGAGCTGTGGCTCCAAAGCGGCTGGCGGCGCGGGCGGCGGGGTCAGCAAACCGCACGCCAAGCTCATCCTGGCGGGCGGCGGCGGCGGGAAAGCAGCAGCGAACGCCGCCTTCGCCGCGGACCAGGCGGGGGCCGCCGCCCTGCTGCCCCTGGGCTCCGCGGCCGCCGCCGACCACCACTCGCTGTACAAGGCGCGGACTCCCAGCGCCTCGGCCTCCTCGGCGGCCTCGGCCTCCGCCGCGCTGGCGGCCCCGGGCAAGCACCTGGCGGAGAAGAAGGTGAAGCGCGTCTACCTGTTCGGCGGCCTGGGCGCGGCGGCGGCGTCGCCCGTGGGCGGCGTGGGCGCGGGCGCCGACCCCAGCGACCCCCTGGGCCTGTACGAGGAGGGGGGCGCGGGCTGCTCGCCCGACGCGCCGAGCCTGAGCGGCCGCAGCAGCGCCGCCTCGTCCCCCGCCGCCGGCCGCTCGCCCTCCGACCACCGCGGCTACGCCAGCCTGCGCGCCGCCTCGCCCGCCCCGTCCAGCGCGCCCTCGCACGCGTCGTCCTCGGCCTCGTCCCACTCGTCGTCGGCCTCCTCCTCGGGCTCCTCGTCGTCCGACGACGAGTTCGAAGACGACCTGCTCGACCTGAACCCCAGCTCAAACTTTGAGAGCATGTCCCTGGGCAGCTTCAGCTCGTCGTCGGCGCTGGACCGGGACCTGGATTTTAACTTCGAGCCCGGCTCCGGCTCGCACTTCGAGTTCCCGGACTACTGCACGCCCGAGGTGAGCGAGATGATCTCGGGAGACTGGCTGGAGTCCAGCATCTCCAACCTGGTGTTCACCTACTGACGGGCGCGCGGGCAGGGAGGAGGAGGGCCGGGGGATCGGAGAGGAGAAAAAAAGAAAAAAGAAAAAAGAAAAGGACAGACGAAGAGTTGAAAGAGAAAAGGGAAAAAAAAGGAAAAGAAAAAAAAGTGAGCAGGGCTGGCTTCTGCCGCCTCCCCGTCGTCGGAGAGGAGCGCGGCGGCGTTTTGGACCCGCGCTCCCATCCCCCACCTTCCCGGGCCGGGGACCGACCCTGCCCAGCCGGAGGGACGCGGGGGAGGCGGAGGGTAGACAGGGGCCACCTGTGATTGCTGTTATTGATGTTGTTGTTGATGGGAAAAAAAAAAAAAAAAAGCGACTTCGAGTTTCCTCCCCTTTGCTTGAAGAGACCCCCTCCCCTTCCAACGAGCTTCCGGACTTGTCTGCGCCCCCAGCAAGAAGCCGAGTTAGTTTTCTAGCGACTGAAGGAATGTCCCCTTTCCCCGCATCACCACCTTGGTTTTGTTTTATTTTGTTTCTTGGTCAAGAAAGGAGGGGGAGAAACCAGCGCGCCCCCTCCCCACCGTTTTAAAAAATGCCGGATGAAGATGGAAGGCTCCGGGGTGACGAATTTGGCCGATGGCTGATGTTTTAGGGCAGCGCCGGGACTGAGAGACTCCACGCAGGCGAATTCCCGTTTGGGGCTTTTTTTCTCTCTCTCTCTCTTTCCCCCCTTCCCCCTCTGCAGCCGGAGGAGGAGATGTGGAGGGGAGGAGGCCAGCCAGTGACCGGCGCTAGGAAATGACCCGAGAACCCCGTTGGAAGCGCAGCAGCGGGGGCCAGGGGCGGGGACGCGGAGAAGGACACGAACTGGAAGGGGGTTCACGGTCAAACTGAAATGGATTTGCACGTTGGGAAGCAGGCGGCGGTGGCTGCTGGGCCTCCGCCTTCTTTCTACGTGGAATCAGTGAGGTGAGACTTCCCAGACCCCGGAGGCGTGGAGCAGAGGAGACTGTTTGATGTGGTACCGGGGCAGTCAGTGGAGGGCTAGTGGTTTCGGAAAAAAAAAAAAAAAGAAAAAAGAAAAAAAAGGGTTTTTTCTTCTCTTAATCGGAATCGTGATGGTGTTGGATTATTTCACTGGTGGGGTTAATATAGCATGTTATCCTGTCTATCTTTTAAAGATTTCTGTATAAGACTGTTGAGCAGTTTTTAAAATAGTGTAGGATAATATAAAAAGCAGATAGATGGCGCTATGTTTGATTCCTACAACGAAATTATCACCAGCTTTTTTTCATTCTTAACTCTTTAAAGGATTCAAACGCAACTCAAATCTGTGCTGGACTTTAAAAAAACAATTCAGGACCAAATTTTTTCTCAGTGTGTGTGTTTATTCCTTATAGGTGTAAATGAGAAGACTTTTTTTCCTTCACCGATGCTCCATCCTCGTATTTCTTTTTCCTTGTAAATGTAATCAGATGCCATTTTATATGTGGACGTATTTATACTGGCCAAACATTTTTTCTTTTGTCCCTTTTTTGCTTTCCTTTCTTTTTACTTCCTTCCTTTCTTCCTTCCTTCCTTTTCCTTTTTCTTTCTTTCTTTTTTTTTTTTTTTTTTTTGTATTTTTGGTTTTTTGGTAGTTGTTGTTACCCACGCCATTTTACGTCTCCTTCACTGAAGGGCTAGAGTTTTAACTTTTAATTTTTTATATTTAAATGTAGACTTTTGACACTTTTAAAAAACAAAAAAGACAAGAGAGATGAAAACGTTTGATTATTTTCTCAGTGTATTTTTGTAAAAAATATATAAAGGGGGTGTTAATCGGTGTAAATCGCTGTTTGGATTTCCTGATTTTATAACAGGGCGGCTGGTTAATATCTCACAGTTTAAAAAATCAGCCCCTAATTTCTCCATGTTTACACTTCAATCTGCAGGCTTCTTAAAGTGACAGTATCCCTTAACCTGCCACCAGTGTTCACCCTTCGACCCCCGTCTTGTAAAAAGGGGAGAAGTAGCCAAACACTGTAAGCTTTTAAGAAAAAGTTTCAGAGGAAATACTGTTCTGTCCAGAGGCTTTAAAACTGGGGCATTTTCAGCAAAAAGGGATTCTGTAGCTTTAACTTGTAAACCACATCTTTTTTGCACTTTTTTTATAAGCAAAAACGTGCCGTTTAAACCACTGGATCTATCTAAATGCCGATTTGAGTTCGCGACACTATGTACTGCGTTTTTCATTCTTGTATTTGACTATTTAATCCTTTCTACTTGTCGCTAAATATAATTGTTTTAGTCTTATGGCATGATGATAGCATATGTGTTCAGGTTTATAGCTGTTGTGTTTAAAGATTGAAAAAAGTGGAAAACATCTTTGTACATTTAAGTCTGTATTATAATAAGCAAAAAGATTGTGTGTATGTATGTTTAATATAACATGACAGGCACTAGGACGTCTGCCTTTTTAAGGCAGTTCCGTTAAGGGTTTTTGTTTTTCAACTTTTTTTTGCCATCCATCCTGTGCAATATGCCGTGTAGAATATTTGTCTTAAAATTCAAGGCCACAAAAACAATGTTTGGGGGAAAAAAAGAAAAAATCATGCCAGCTAATCATGTCAAGTTCACTGCCTGTCAGATTGTTGATATATACCTTCTGTAAATAACTTTTTTTGAGAAGGAAATAAAATCAGCTGGAACTGAACCCTAAATCTTGACTTTTGTCGTTATTATGCTCAGTGCCTAAAATTGGAAGGTGGCCCTACGCTATCTAGACACTACGCAATGTGCCTTAGCTTTGAAAAAAATAAGTTCTCAGAGGAGGCTTGTCAAATGCCACCTTATTGAGGAATATTAAATGTCTCTTGGCCAGATTTCTCCTGACCCCGAAATGATGGCATCAGATGAATATGTGTCCACTCTACACACACTTTCTAGGAATTTTCTGAGTTTACCATATTTTAAAACGCCCTTTGTCTTGGAATCTGAAAAAGGGGGAGGGGCAACGTGGATAGAGGAGTTCTTCACAGATGAAATTGGCTAGCTTATCTTTTTATGAACTTAGTACTCCCAGAGCTGCTTTCTCCTTGGTTTGCCCATGCTTACCTCTAACAATGGCTAGAATTGGTTTCCATGAGCTAAGGACAAATAAGCTGTTAAATTGTCAGTAGATTATAGAGGAGAAGGCTTTCACTGATTATCAAATGCAAAAGGTGTATGCATTATTTTTTCTCAGGCAGAAGGGTTGCTGTGGTGCCAAAATCTCTTCTGCCATGCCCAACAATGTCAGAGAACGGCAGCAATGAGGATGATCTGGAGAAGCTGGCTCCCTGTGGGCTCAGGAAAGCGCCCCCTCTCTCAAAATAGCTCTGATTTTGGCTGCTGGAGATTTATGTTTTTTCTAAGAATCAGGCGGGATTATTGAGACTATGCAAGAAAAGTACTTAGATTTCCTAAGACCCATTACTACTCGGTTTGGAACATACAACTTGCTAAGTGCCACTATTTCCTGTTTATTTTGAGAGTTAACCATTGCTATTAACTAACAAAAGCCATCTTTACTTCCAAATGTCTGTTAATTTAAAAAGTGTCTTTTACATGTCTTGAGTTTTTCAGCACTGGAGAGGAGGGGTTAATAAGCAGGAGTGTTTGGAAATCATCCCTTATTCATTTGGATTGCTTGTAGAGAAGGGAGTATTATTCATCCTGGAAGGCACACCTGGAAAAAGAGATCTTTGAAGGGGGTTCTGTCGTTGTGAAGTGGAAAGCAATGATCCACCCCCTAAAACCAATGTAACTTTGGTTTCAGTGTAACTCATCTCTTAACGATAGATGGGGTTTTCAGCATCTTTGCCTGTGCGCCGCTCATGTATTTAGTTTTGATTGCATCTGGGTTCTGCAGCTAGAATTCCACTTTTTTAAATGACCTTAGAACAACATGGCCTCTTAAGTTTCTTCAAAGGTCTTTGTAAAAGAAAGAACTCTTCTTTAGAAAAGTGCTTTTAAGTTTAATCTTCATCTCAATGATACGATTGTTCAGCTCTTTTCAGCTCTAAGATATCAATACCATGACTTAAATGAAGTCTAGATGATGCATTTTTTAAATGATATTTTTGAAATATTTATTTATTTCAGGTTTCTCCTGCTAGAACTGTTTCTTTTCCCTTGACTCTCCATGTAAAAGCAGATGCTTTAAATATTTCCTTTAAGAATCTTGATAGCATTGTTTTAAAAATAAAAGCTGAAATGTTTGTGTCCTTCCTGGCAGGTGGTAAACGTTAAGAAGCATTTCCGTACAATGTCATTCCTCTAAGTCAGCTTTCATTCAATCTAAGGGATACGCGTTAGATGCTACAGGCATAATAAACCTGAGAAACCAAACAGTTTAGCCTCATTTTTTTCTTACAGATAATTTGGCTCAATAGCAAAGAATAAGTTTCAGATTTTCTTTTAAGAATATCAAACAGTTGCTTCTGGCCCTGTGCTCCACCACAAATGTGAATCAGTGATACACGCTTACACAAGTTTTGTCAGTTCCTAGTTGAATCCCTTTAAGTGCCAAGAAAAAAAGTAAAAAGCATGTAAACTGAGAGGGTGGGCCCAGCCACCTGGAAAGGCTTTTGGGGTTTGTGTTTACCCTGCCCTTGGGGGTACTAGGGAAGCTAAGGGAGGAGCTAAGGGTTTCTGAGGAAAGCAAGAAAGCAAAGGGTTAAATGGACATGACCATTTACCCCGGGTTTCCTGTGTCTGTAGGGTACACGCAAATTGGAAGACATGGCCTGGGGAATGCTATGGGTCAGAATGCTTGGTCATAAATCTAAAAGACATTTAGGGCCTCCCAAGGAAGTATTTGAGAAGATACAAATGTTTAAAAAAAGAAAAAGAGTTTTAAGAATACAAAACCTATCTACCCATTTGGGTTTCTCAGAGTGTAAGGTTGGTATACTTTATTTCTCTTTCTGGTGGGTTTTCATTTTGTGCCCACCCTGGCACCCCTCCTTTAAGGCCTACAGAATACCTCTCTAACCCATATTCACTAGGGCTTACCCCTACCACTCTGTTTCATTCTGGACAATGGTATCTCCGTATGCATTTCTCTTTTTTTGAGATAGAGTTTCGCTCTTGTTGCCCAGGCTGGAGTGTAATGGCATGATCTCGGCTCACCACAACCCCGCCTCCCGGTTTTAAGTGATTCTCCAGCCTCAGCCTCCCGAGTAGCTGGGATGTACAGGCGTGTGCCACCACGCCCTGCTAATTTTGTATTTTTAGTAGGGTTTCTCCATGTTGGTCAGGCTGGTCTCGAACTCCTGACCTCAGGTCATCTGTCTGCCTCAGCCTCCCAAAGTGCTGGGATTACAGGCGTTAGCCACCATGCCCCAATCCATACGTATTTCTTGATTTTCACCATTATTGCAAAGCTAAAGTGGAGGAGTGGGAAGAAAGCATCTCCAGGCATCTGCATGATGTTTCGGGCCCTGCCAAGTGTCTTCCACCATTCCCTTTGCCCAGGATAAAGTCCAGAATTCACATGCTGCTCAAGGCCCAGCACAAAAGGGTTTTAGCCCACTTTTCCACTTCTTCCAAATTGCAATATAACCAAACTGCTCTTTCCTGAAAAACTGGAATTCTTGAAGGACAGGAACTAGGCATTGAACACTTCTTGTATCCCCTAATTTGCTTTCCCTGCTTTTCACATAATAAATGCTTAATTCTTTTTTGTTGACTTAACATTTACATTGTTTCCATGGGGCCCTAAGAGCTTCCAACATGCATTTGCATTTTATGCTGCCTGTGGTAAATACCAGCGCTGGATTTCCTGAAAACCTGGGTTAGAATGCTGCCTCTGAGACCAGTAAGATGGAGGACCTTGGACAGATTTCTCAGCCTCTTTAGGTTTCCATGTTTTAAATCATTATATAGAAAGAGTTATCTGATGTAGATAGCTGTCGTGAGAACAGAGTGAAGTGGCATATGTGGGATGTGTCGTAATGCCTGGCCTACCACATGGGCCCGTGCAGTGCTAGATCCTGACCTCATGGGTAGTTTTAAAAAGCTAATGTAGCTAGGCGCGGTGGCTGACGCCCGTAATCCCAACATTTTGGGAGGCCAAGGAGGGCGGATCAGGAGATTGAGATCATCCTGGCCAACATGGTAAAACCCATCTCTACCAAAATACAAAAATTAGTTGGCTGTGGTGGCGTGTACCTATAATCCCAGCTACCCAGGAACTGAGGCTGGAGACTGGTTTGAACCTGGGAGGCAGAGGTTGCAGTGAGCCAAAATCACGCCATTGCACTCCAGCCTGGCAACAGAGCTTGAGTCCGTCTCAAAAAAAAGAAAAAAGTAAAGCCTAACACAGTGGCAGCAACATAGAAGTGCTTTAAATTCGAAAAATGGATGAATCAATGCTTCTCACTCTGCTGCATGAATCCCCAGGATCAGAATTACCAGGAGAGTCTTGTTACGGGTAGCGATTAAACAGATCACCAGCCACAGTCAGACTGTAGGGATGGGGCCTTAATGAGCCCCCCGTAGATTTCCAGTGCTCACTGAAGTTGGGCAATCAGTACCCTCACTGTATTTTAGTATATTCTCCCAATAAATATGCAGGCAAGGGATTATAACGTCCTCGTTGTTTTAACACGGAGAAATTGAATTGAGAATGGCCCAGTGACTGATCTGAGGTCACAAGGTCAGAAGTGCCAGAAAGGGTATTGGAACTCTATCTCCTGAGCCCTAGAATCAGCCAGAACTTACTTCTCTAAATAGATGTCTTCTCCGTTTTTACCCAAGGCTTGGTCCCTTAGCAGAAATGAGCAGTCCCTGCACTTCCCTCAGCCCTGTGACTTCCTGTCCATTTTCTCAAGGGTGCTCTCCCACCATCCTAGTTGAAAGTGTAAGTTTAGGCCAGGTGTGGTGGTGGCTCACACCTCTAAGACCAGCATTTTGGGAGGCTGAGGCAGGTGGATCACCTGAGCTTAGGAGTTCGAGACCAGCCTGACCAATATGGTGAACTCTTGTCTCCACTAAAAATACAAAAAAAATTAGCCAAGTGTAGTGACACATGCCTGTAATCCCAGCCTCTCGGGAGGCCAAGGCAGGAGAATCGTTCAAACCTGGGAGGCTGAAGTTGCAGTGAGCCTGGGAGGCGGATGTTGCAGTGAGCTGAGATCGTGCCATTGTACTCCAGCCGGGGCAACGAGTGAAAATCCATCTCAAAAAAAAAAAAAAAAGGTGTAAGTTTAAGTAATTAGCCAAGTTAATACATATATATTCCCGTTAAACAAATTTATGTGTGCTAAAAGATGAACCCAAGGACTGATTTTTGGAAGAAGCAGCATCCAGGGCAGAGGAGAGCAGAAATGATATAAATATAGTGCCTGGAACTTCTGGTTTGTTCTTTAAAAGGCAGATCTTCCTGCAAGTGAGAAAACTGGAAATTATTCAGAGCGCACTCGGCTTTTATAGAGAGGGCTATCGTCTACCCACTATATCCTAATGAGATTGATTGACCGTTGGCTACAGTTAACTTAAGGGTTTTATGGTTTCCTGCAAGTGTTGTTTTCCTTCTCTAAGTTAAAAAGAAGAAGAAGAAGAAAAAAAAAAAACTCTCACATCACTAAACGGTATTTCCCAGGGGGCTGTGTGACGGGGCTGCTGCATTTTGGTTTGGGCCTTAGCTAACAATGCACCTCTATGTGTGTATGTCTGT